CCAGCACTCTCGCCACCTTCAACTTGATGGAGCCATAACCCAGCACTCTCGCCACCTTCAATATGATGGAGCCATAACCCAGCACTCTCGCCACCTTCAACACGATGGGGCCATAACCCAGCACTCTCGCCACCTTCAACTTGATGGAGCTATAACCCAGCACTCTCGCCATCTTCAATATGATGGAGCCATAACCCAGCACTCGCGCCACCTTCAACTTGATGGAGCCATAACCCAGCACTCTCGCCACGTTCAATATGATGGAGCCATAATCCAGCACCTCGCCACCTTCAACTTCACGCCCGCCATTGGCACAGTGGCAGAGATTGTCCTAAATAAAGCAATAACTTTTTTTTTTAATAACAGGTCTTACCGCGAGTTGACAGTTATAGCTGAGTTATCATAGGGGTCATCCGTAAATTACGTCACGCTAAAAATGACCTTTATAGACCCCCCTTCCACCTGTCACCAAGTGTCTCAAATTATTTAATTCTCCCCCCCCCCCACGTCACACCTAAAGAAATTCAAAACATATAAACAATTTTCATAACTAAACTAAGTTTTTATTTTATTTTTTAAAATTCTCCCATAACCGATTAAGATGTAGTATTATTAGAAAACTGAGTTTCAAATTACCTATGTAATACCTGAGGCAATTGCGATCACAAATTAATTCAATAAAGATTTTTTCAAAATTAGAACATATTAGATGTAAAAAAATAAAAAATAAAGTGACGTCACACCCCCCCCCCCGGGGTCACAAATTCTCGACACCCCCCCCCCCCTTTTTTTTCAAGCGTGACGTAATTTGCGAACGACCCCCTACTTTATGCATATTTAAGATAAAGTGGGGATGGGAGAGAAGGTGTTTGAGAAATAAAGGAGGGAGTGGGAGATTCTGAAAAGAGATGGATTGGAGTGAAGGAGAGAGTCCAAGCATGTAATGATACTATAGGACTTTCATTGAACCGAGTCCACTATATAAAATAATAAATGTTTTCTATTGCACCAGCCAAGGTAACACCAGCCAACAGTTGTAACTGCATGCATCCCTCCCTCAGAGGGTGATTGGCTCCACTGCCACCAACGCACTGAACCCCAGTCCTTATATAACCGTGCCCCGTGGCGGCACGTTGGGTGGGGGGGGGGTGGGGGATGGACATGCCTGCCATCGGGGACAGGCCAAACGATGAGGCGTTTCAAATGACGTGAAATGTGATGGATCACTTGTCCCGCCATGACATAAAGCTGTCTGTCTGATCAAGGATTGTTACAACTAAGACATTACCACCAGTGATTCGGTCTGGATGTTCACATTGCTGCTACTTCTACAGCTGCTAGGTAAAAAAATTTTACAAATAGAAATTGTTTTGTAAAGTATAGACTATATATATATATAGTTAAACAAGGCAAATCATTTATTGATCTAATTCATTTTTGAAATTCTTTGTGGATCATTTACACCAGTGTTGCATCAAATTGATGGGGACACCACCAGTGTTACATCAAATTGATGGGGACACCACCAGTGTTACATCAAATTGATGGGGACAATTTTAAGATCGACGAATCGATTTTTTTAAACGAAGATCAAATCATCAATAAAACGGCCCGTGTCGCCATGGGGATCATTCCCAGGATAGTTTGAGAAGCACTGTTCTAAACGTTTCTTTGTCTTCTTCTAGTGTTGTGGTCGTATGGCCTCAACGTGCCGTCTCGGTACATTAGTAAATAACCTCATTCGGGTTGTTTTTTCCTTCTTACATTTTAATTGTTACCATTCCGTTAGGAGGAGACAGTCTAAAACTGCCAAGCCTCTGTTAGAGTTAATGCATGTGTCAGCTACGTGTCACCAGTGATATATACTGGTCGTATAACAATAATAATCGCCACGACAACAACTTTGCCACCCGCTCGCGTCACTTAATGGAGTCACGGCTTGTTGTTGCAGTGTCATTAATGTGTTTTGCTCATCCACCGAGGAGGGACCATTTTCATCACGACCACAAAAATCCACTGGTCGGTCTAAACTGTAGTCTAAATCTAAATAAAACGTAGCACTTAGCCGAGAAGTAGCACAGGAGAGGGCAGCAAAGGAATTGTGGCAGAGAATAAGTGGGTGAGAGATTAAAGACAGGCAAGACGGGAAAGAAAAGAGGTGGTCCTACATCTTTGGGTATAACATACAGATGGCTCTTAAGGCCGGTCGAATGGAAATGGTCGACGAGTTCTGGGCCCTGACTTGGCTCACGCGAGCACCGGCCCTGGGGGTGATGGGCCGTAAAAGGGGGGGGGGGATTTCACGGATCAACTTCCATAGACCAGGTACCTATCAACAAAACAGCTTCACTTGTTTTATGTAAAACAACAACCAAAAAAACAAGATAATAAGACAACGACCCCCAACCCCCCCNCCCCCCCGGCCCGACTACCATAAAAAAAAAGTATGAAGTATACCGATGGGATCGTAAAGTATACCGATGGGATCGTAAAGTATACCGATGAGATCGTAAAGTATACTGATGAGATCGTAAAGTATACTGATGAGATCGTAAAATATACCGATGAGATCGTAAAGTATACTGATGAGATCGTAAAGTATACTGATGAGATCGTAAAGTATACTGATGAGATCGTAAAGTATACTGATGAGATCTAAAGTATACTGATGAGATCGTAAAGTATACTGATGAGATCGTAAAGTATACTGATGAGATCGTAAAGTATACTGATGAGATCGTAAAATATACTGATGAGATAGACTAATTCATTTCCCTCTTAAGTGTATTTTAAGATCTATAGTTCACATTAAATCGTTTTGGTTACATCATAAATAAATCGTAAATAACTTGATAACACCCCCGCCCCCAAACCAAACACACACTTTCGGTGCCAACAAGTAAATAAAAACTAGTATTCTGAAACAAAACAATTCTTTTTTAGCGCTTTTCGTTGAGCTGTTTTCTAAGCACTGGTAGTACTTAGTATTTTCTACGAATGTTTCAATCCGAGTAGTTAGGGCATCCTTCTATGTAAACATGTTTGGTGGATATCTAGAGGTCGGCAAGTGAATGCTTATGAATATGAGAAATTCGTTATAAGACTATGCTTTCAACACTAGGCCAATCTGCTAGCAGGCACAAACAGACGCACCATCGATTTCTCTCAGATCAATGTAGCACACACACACACAGCCCCGGTCACGTCAGAACGGCTGTAATCGTTCGTGTTGACAGTGTCGTTTCGTTGTGTGAGTACAGTGTTGTGGGGGACACGTCAGCTGTGTAGTTATGCCATGGATATTTCCTCTATGAGTCTAGTGTCCCATCGTTATACTGTGTAGTACCGGTAATGCCATAGATTATCTCTATCAGTCTAGTGCCCCATGGTTATACTGTGTTGGGCGACGACTTGGTTATGATGAAACTATGTAGAGCGACATTGTCCACTTCATTGAGTGCGTCTATTGAAAGCATCAATGTGTGTTGTGATACATCAGCTCACCAATGTGTGTTGTAATACATCAGATAACCAATGTGTGTTGTGATACATCAGCTCGACTATGTGTGTTGTGATGTATCAGCTCACCAATGTGTGTAATGCTATATTATCAAAAGTGTGTTGTGATACAGCAGCTCACCAATGTGTGTTGTGACACATGACCAATGTGTATTGTGACACATGACCAATGTGTGCTACCATATCACCAATTTGTCTCGTGACAGTGCCAGTCTCGATGACGTCATGATTCCCCCCCCCCCTCCACACTGCTGAATCCAACCAAACGGTCCTGTTGTCTGCCACATTGTCATACACCAGATGACCTGTCTTTGTCGTCTGCTGAGACGGGCAGAAATTTTAATGCTTCCTGGCATGTTGACATAACCAAGGAGGGAACGTTTATCAAGAGCAATAACAGATTAGATGGCAGGATGTGGTGGTTGTGGTGTGGGACATATGGTGTTGGACATGTGGTGTGGGACATGTGGTGGTGTGTGGTTTTGGAGATGTGGTGGTGTGTGGTTTGGGAGATGTGGTGTTGTGGTTTGGGAGATGTGGTGGTGTGTGAGATGTGGTGGTTGTGGTTAGGGAGATGTGGTGGTGTGTGGTTTGGGAGATGTGGTGGTTGTGGTTTGGGAGATGTGGTGGTGTGTGAGATGGGGTGGTGGTGGTTTGGGAGATGTGGTGGTGGTGTGGTGTGTGAGAGGTGGGGTGAGAGAGGGAGAAAGCGTGAGAGATAGAGAGAGGGAGAGAGAGAGAGGGTGAGAGAGTGTTGGTCGGGTGGTGTGGGGGATGTGGTGGTGTGTGGTTTTGGAGATGTGGTGGTGTGTGGTTTGGGAGATGGGGTGTTGTGGTTTGGAAGATGTGGTGGTGTGTGAGATGTGGTGGTTGTGGTTAGGGAGATGTGGTGGTGTGTGGTTTGGGAGATGTGGTGGTTGTGGTTTGGGAGATGTGGTGGTGTGTGAGATGTGGTGGTTGTGGTTTGGGAGATGTGGTGGTTGTGTGGTGTGTGAGATGTGGGGTGAGAGAGGGAGAAAGCGTGAGAGATAGAGAGAGGGAGAGAGAGAGAGGGTGAGAGAGAGAGAGAGAGGGGGTGAGAGAGAGAGGATAGAGAGAGAGAGAGAGAGAGAGGGTGGCGGGCTAGGTGTTGAGTTGACGGACAGGCGGGTTTCCGGCACAAGGACACATTCTGAATTCTTGATTCGATCGTGTGTTCGTGTCCCAGGCGTGTAGGGTCATATTAATGCCATTGTGATAACTGTGTTACCTGTTGCTGTTGGTAAGTCTGCATTGAGTAGGAGCAACTTTACTGAGAAATGTGCACTTTTGATGGTACTGTTCATAAGTAGTGTGTATGAATCAGACATTACCGAGTACTAACAACATTACTGATAAGTGTGAAATGTGTGTGCGTGCAAGTGTTGACAAGTGACATATAACATATAATTTAGTCATTAATCCTATTGAACACCGATATTATTTTGCAACTTTTTACCCCGATCAAATGTAATCTAAAGACAACTCCCCCCCCCCCCCCAACACTTATTTCAGCGGCCCCATTGCCCCCCCCCAATAGTACGAGATACTACAACCATTTACTTTATGGTTAAGTCCACAATTTACCAAGCATGCGTGACCAACACCCTTCAGCTCCACTCAATTATGCAAATGACCGATCGGACAAACTTAAGAGTAGAGTTATAAACGAGAACAACCAGGCTAAGCATGGCACCAATGGGATGGGGGGGGGTGTTGAGCTGACTGTGGGGGTGTTGTTGAGCTGACTGTGGGGTGTTGTTGAGCTGACTGTGGGGATGTTGTTGAGCTGACTGAGAAGAAAATAGGTTGTTTAAGTTACCAGTCTGGTGCTAAATCATTGAAGCTTGCTGGTCAATAATCAAGTGCACTTTAGGAAGGTGAGAAGTAAGACAATAACAGCTGGTCGCAGGGGTGTCTTATTGTCTGATAGCAAGGGTGTCGTATTGTTGATAGTATGGGTGTCTTATTGTCTGATGGCAAGGGTGTCTTATTGTCTGATAGCTAGGGTGTCTTATTGTCTGAGAGCAAGGGGGTCTTATTGTCTGATAGCAATGGTGTCTTATTGTTTGATAGCACATGTGTCTAATTGTCTGATAGCAAGGGTGTCTTATTGTTTGATAGGAAGGGTTTCTTATTGTCTGATAGCTAGGGTGTCTTATTGTCTGAGAGCAAGGGGGTCTTATTGTCTGATAGCAATGGTGTCTTATTGTTTGATAGCACATGTGTCTAATTGTCTGATAGCAAGGGTGTCTTATTGTCTGATAGGAAGGGTTTCTTATTGTCTGATGGCAAGGGTGTCTTATTGTCTGATAGCATGGGTGTCTTATTGTATGATAACAAGGGTGTCTTATTGTCTGATAGGAAGGGTTTCTGATTGTCTGATGGCAAGGGTGTCTTATTGTCTGATAGCAAGGGTGTCTTATTGTCTGATGGCAAGGGTGTCTTATTGTCTGATAGGAAGGGTGTCTTATTGTCTGATGGCAAGGGTGTCTAATTGTCTGATAGGAAGGGTGTCTTATTGTCTGATGGCAAGGGTGTCTTATTGTGTGATAGCAATGGTGTCTTATTGTCTGATGGCAAGGGTGTCTTATTGTCTGATAGGAAGGGTTTCTTATTGTCTGATAGCAAGGGTGTCTTATTGTCTGATAGCAAGGGTGTCTTATTGTCTGATGGCAAGGGTGTCTTATTGTCTGATAGGAAGGGTGTCTTATTGTCTGATAGGAAGGGTGTCTTATTGTCTGATGGCAAGGGTGTCTTATTGTCTGATGGCAAGGGTGTCTTATTGTCTGATGGCAAGGGTGTCTTATTGTCTGATGGCAAGGGTGTCTTATTGTCTGATGGCAAGGGTGTCTTATTGTCTGATGGCAATGGTGCCTTATTGTCTGATAGCAATGGTGTCTTATTGTCTGATAGCAATGGTGTCTTATTGTCTGATGGCAAGGGTGTCTTATTGTCTGATAGCAATGGTGTCTTATTGTCTGATAGCAAGGGTGTCTTATTGTCTGATGGCAAGGGTGTCTTATTGTCTGATGGCAAGGGTGTCTTATTGTCTGATGGCAAGGGTGTCTTATTGTCTGATAGGAAGGGTGTCTTATTGTCTGATGGCAAGGGTGTCTTATTGTCTGATAGGAACCCACAGAATAACAGACTACCGTTCCCACTCTTATTGTCTGATAGGAAGGGTGTCTTATTGTCTGATGGCAAGGGTGTCTTATTGTCTGATAGGAAGGGTGTCTTATTGTCTGATGGCAAGGGTGTCATATTGTCTGATAGCAATGGTGTCTTATTGTCTGATGACAAGGGTGTCTTATTGTCTGATAGCAAGGGTGTCTTATTGTCTGATGGCAAGGGTGTCTTATTGTCTGATAGCAATGGTGTCTTATTGTCTGATGGCAAGGGTGTCTTATTGTCTGATAGCAAGGATATCTTATTGTCTGATTGCAAGGGTGTCTTATTGTCTGATAGGAAGGGTGTCTTATTGTCTGATGGCAAGGGTGTCTTAATGTCTGATAGCAAGGGTGTCTTATTGTCTGATGGCAAGGGTGTCTTATTGTCTGATAAGGAGAAAACTGGACAGTTTAAAAAAAGGTCGTGCGGTCCTTATAGGGACTGAAATTCTACCATTTAGCACAGCCGTGAGCAGTATGGACACAGGTTAGCCACAGGTCAGCGCTAGCAGGTCTGGGTAGTTCAAGAGGTAATGCAAAGGGATGTATATAGTGAGCCTGATGGGTCTCAAGTTTTTGTAGCAATGTCACAAATCAATTATAATTCTATTGTTCAGAAGGTACCCTGGGTCAGCCAAAAATAAGGCAGAAATCGTGTTCCTTCAAAGAAACAGGGAATATCATCAGCGAGATACGACTGTGTGCAACAAGATTCACAGAGTTGGCTGAAGAACAGCCACCATCCACAAGACGTGAAAGTTGACACTACTTACAGCAAACAGAGACAGGTACCAGGATTAAGGATGGAGGTTTTGGCTGTCCACACCAAGAGCAGCTTAGGAAATGTCATAAAGGGTAAGATGGTGGGTGTGTGGTCTGACTGGTAGATAGAATGGGTGGGTGTGGCTTGATGGGTGGGTGTGGCTTGATGGGTGGGTTTGGCTTGGTAGATTTGAGTTGTTTGGAGAGTTATTGAACTAATTGGGTAGGTTGATGGGTGGGTGTGGCTTGATGGGTGGGTGTGGCTTTTTCTTGGTAGATTTGAGTTGTTTGGAGAGTTATTGAACTAATTGGGTAGGTTGATGGGTGGGTGTGGCTTGATGGGTGGGTGTGGCTTTGGCTTGGTAGATTGGAGTTGTTTGGAGAGTTATTGAACTAATTGGGTAGGTTGATGGGTGGGTGTGGCTTGATGGGTGGATGTGGCTTTGGCTTGGTAGATTTGAGTTGTTTGGAGAGTTATTGAACTAATTGGGTAGGTTGAGGCTTGATGGGTGGGTGTGGCTTGATATGAGAATGAGAAAAATGTGTGTGGTGACAACAACAGAATAAATAAATTTAGTTTAATTAAAACCCGAAAAAGAACAGAAGAACAAGAAGTGGTGGGCGCATCAGGTAGGATATGTCTTTCAATCAATCGTCTGTTTGGGAAATGTATCAATAAGTGATATGCCATATGTATGAGTGATATGCCATATGTATAAGTGAGTGATATGCCATATGTATAAGTGAGTGATATGCCATATAAGTGAGTGATATGCCATATGTATAAGTGAGTGATATGCCATAGGTTTCACTGAGTGATTACGCCATAGGTTTCACTGAGTGATACGCCATAGGTTTCACTGAGTGATACGCCATAGGTTTCACTGAGTGATATGCCATAGGTTTCACTGAGTGATTACGCCAATATGGTTCAATTTAACATGATAATTTCTATGTTCCAGCCTCAAGCATCACCCCTATAAACGATCTCAAGGGACATAAGGGTGGCAACTACGCTGAAGGGGAGCAACTCTTGAGGTGCAAGCTGGCATCTCTGTACCGACTGGTCGATCTTTGTGGGTGGACACACGGAGTCTTTAATCACATAAGTGTAAGCTACTGCTGGGACTATTTATCAAAGTTCATCCTCTTCTCCTCTGGAACATTAGCGGTACAAAGAAATGTCATGACAAAACTCCAAAACATGGGCGTTCCTCTAGTCGTTGGATTAAACCTAACCTTGGTTAAATAGTTATTTGCTTTATGAAGAGTTGCAAACTTGTTATTGTCTGCCAGTCTTACGCTCAATCATTGTGGGGCTGATTGGGTTGTGTCAATAATAGGTGTGGACAGTTTCGCTCTATCAATGTGGGGCTGATTGGGTTGTGTCAATAATAGGTGTGGACAGTTTCGCTCCATCAATGTGGGGCTGATTGGGTTGTGTCAATAATAGGTGTGGACAGTTTCGCTCCATCAATGTGGGGCTGATTGGGTTGTGTCAATAATAGGTGTGGACAGTTTCTCTCCATCAATGTGGGCTGATTGGGTTGTGTCAATAATAGGTGTGGACAGTAACATTGGAAGGGAGGCCCCCCCCCCGTGCTTTTTTGTTGTTGATATGGAGGGGTGACATTTTTTTCTTTGATGGGGGGCTGCAACAATCTTGACCTAACCTGTCGAACTAACCTTAGCTATGTAACATGTGGTCATTCCATCAGTATTACATGCGGTCATTTCATCAATATTACATGCGGTCATTTCATCAATATTACATGTGGTCATTTCATCAATATTACATGTGGTCATTCCATCAGTATTTCATGTGGTCACTCCATCAGTATTACATGTCGTCATTCCATCAGTGTTACATGTAGTCAGTCCATGTTATGAAGCTGTCTCTGTCCACCAGGTTCGAGTTGACTCTAGTGGCCAGGAACATTTTCTCCTGAACCCATTCGGTCTACTGTACCACGAGATCACGGCGTCCTCCCTCCTCAAGGTTGACATCAACGGGGCGGTCATTGATCAGGGGACCACCCTCTTTGGGGTCAGCAAGGCCGGGTTCAACCTCCACTCTGCCATCCATGCGGCCCGTCCAGATATTAAATGCGTCATTCATGTACACACACCAGCAGCCACGGCGGTAAGGTCAAGGTTCCATGTCTACACCTCAACCCTATCAACATTCATTTTATAATTTAAATAAAATATCTACACATTTACAACTCCATCTATAATTGCTTATATCAAATGATAGAAAAAAAAGCATGGAAGGATGAAACCTGAACATTTTGTAAAATCTGTTCTATAAACAGAAGATGGATCAAAAGCAATCAAAGTAAGAATGAAGAAGAAATCAGTGAAAGAACATCAGCCGCACAACATCCCACTAGAAATATTTCAACTAATGCAATGTCTGGAGTGTTAACAATAAGACTCAAACCCCAATAAATAAAGCAAGCAAGCATTTCATTTTAATAACTTTCCTGATGTCACTGGACTCAACAGCGTCAGAAAGCTGAAAGAGTCTTTTGACCTAGAACTTCCCCATGGAAATTGTCTAGACTGACCAGAGAAGTTTAGAGAGGACCAGAGAAGTTTAGAGACGTAAGATGACTGACAAATTAATTACAAGTCCTTGTGAATCATGTTTCAGGTATCAGTCATGAAGTGTGGTCTCCTGCCCCTCAGTCAGGAGTCTATGGTCTGCGGCAACATCAGCTACCACGAGTACTACGGGGTGTTTGTCGATGACAAGGAGAAGGAAATTCTAGCCAAAAACTTAGGACCTCAAAATAAGGTAACCTCACTTTGATCTTAACACTTGCCTTGTACAGAAGGCATGTGATGGGCAGTGTACAATATGTTGAATGGATTCTACTTGCAGTATGTAGTAAACAACTAAGAATGTACAATACATTAGATTCTAGGTAACTACTGGCTATGTAAGCATTTCATAACTCTGAATAATAATTAAATGGAGATTATCATTGTAAACGAAATAAATTACTTCTGTTCAATTACTTTGACTGTGACATACAAAAATAAAATGTGTGTTGAAAGTATATGTTGGTTATTTCAACAGATTATGATACTTCACAATCACGGTGTGGCTATTTGCGGAGAAACTATTGAGGAGGCTTTTCACTTAACATTTAACTTTATGGCTGCATGTGAGGCCCAGGTGAGTACTTGACAGGGATCAGATGGGCAGTGCTGGAATCAGATGGACAGTGCTGGGATCAGATGGGCAGAGCTGGGATCAGATGGGCAGTAATGAGATCAGATGGGCAGAGCTGGGATCAGATGGGCAGTGCTGGGATCAGATGGGCAGCGCTGGGATCAGATGGGCAGAGCTGGGATCAGATGGGCAGAGTAGGGATCAGATTGGCAGTGTAGGGATCAGATGGGCAGTGCTGGTATCAGATGGGGAGTGCTGGGATCAGATGGGTACTGGTGGGGTCAGATGGGCAGTGCTGGGATCAGATGGGCAGAGCTGGGATTAGATGCGCAGAGTAGGGATCAGATGGGCAGAGTAGGGATCAGATGGGCAGTGCTGGTATCAGATGGGGAGTGCTAGGATCAGATGGGTACTGGTGCGGTCAGATGGGCAGAGCTGGGATCAGATGGGCGGAGTAGGGATCAGATTGCAGAGTAGGGATCAGATGGGCAGTGCTGGTATCAGATGGCCAGTGCTGGTATCAGATGGGCAGTGCTGGGATCAGATGGGTACTGGTGGGGTCAGATGGGCAGTGCTGGGATTAGATGGACAGTGCTGGGATCAGATGGGCAATGCTGGGATCAGATGGGCATGCTGGGATCAGATGGGCAGTGCTGGGATCAGATGGATACTGGTGGGGGGTCAGATTTGGATGGGAACTAGTTGCATCAGGTGGTCACCAATGTTTCCCCTCATGTGACAATAATGACTTAAGAACATTGGTGCCTCCTTTAAATGTGCATCCAAGGAAAAGATTGAGATAAGTATAGCCACCTTTGCTATGGAATGTTACAGTCAAGAAACTGAGAGGACAAGCTGAAATCACTTTAGATACATAGAGCGTTCTTAAATTTAAAAGATCAGTAGTTTATGGTCAAGGGTCCAAAGGTCATACAAGGAATAGTGGGGAACAATGTTGGCAACCATGAAACATCCTACCCTCTTATTCCAGTGACCTTGAAACATACTACCCTCTTATTCCAGGTGCGGGCCATGTCAGTGGGCCTTAAAAACATTGTACTGCCTTCACCTGATGCCCAGTCCCAAGTACATAATGTGGCCAACAGAGGAGGGGCTGGTGTGGATATGTCAGGATTTGGCTGGAAAACTGGACAACTAGAATTTGAGGCCTTGATGAGGGCACTAGACAGTGTGGTAAGTAAAGATCAACTATATGTTGTTTTAAAAGCTGTAAAAGTCATTGCCTGTTACTGTAACTAGAAAGTGTAAGGAAATAATGTCAGGTCACTTCAGGAAAATAATCCCATGACATCTAGGACCATAGTCCCATGACATCTAGGACCACCACCTGTTTTTTTTTTTTCTGGCATACCTCCATCACAATGTGAGGATGGTGTCGACTTTGCAGGACGAAATCAAAAGGCCTGGGATCTTTCCTTAGGAGGATAAGCTGGCCCCCTAGACAGCAAATCCCCTCTCACCACCCACATCCCCTCTCACCACCCACATCCCCTCTCACCACCCACATCCCCTCTCACCACCCACATCCCCTCTCACCACCCACATCCCCTCTCACAACACATCTGGAGAACCCAAGGGAACATTATTTATATGGGGGGGGGGGGGGGTGATACAACTTGTCAACATTAGCGTTGCAGGAGTTGCCAGAATATTTAATGTGTCAATGGTTATCTGCCTACGGAACTCCAACTCCGGGTTTGAAACACCACCCACATCCCCTCTCACCCCCCACATCCCCTCTCACCACCCACATCCCCTCTCACAACACATCTGGAGAACCCAAGGGAACATTATTTATATGGGGGGGGGGTGTGTGATACAACTTGTCAACATTAGCGTTGCAGGAGTTGCCAGAATATTTAATGTGTCAATGGTTATCTGCCTACGGAACTCCAACTCCGGGTTTGAATTCAGAGTTAGCGTTCTCTTAGATGAGTTGCCGTCCAAGATTAACGAGTCCCATCAACCCAGGGTGCTGGGGCTGTTTTTGGTTGTCTAGGCTTTGGTGGGCTTTGAACTCGGGACCAAAAGGTATTCGGAATGACTCAGTTTAGACCGTCCTCCACCCACCACCAACACCACCTTCTGTTACCGGTAATGCTAGATTAATCTCTGTATAAATTTAACTGAATAACTTATTGATCTAATAAAACTATGCATAAATTCATTTGTAAAAATTATTTTCTTCTTTATAAACAGGGCTACAGAACAGGTTATGATTACAAGCTGCTGCCTATTGCAAAGCAGGAACACTAACCTCGTTAAAATAAAGTCAATACAAAGTCAGGAAGAGTTACCCTTCTTATAAGCAGCAAAGTTAAAATATTTTTAAAATGCAAACGTAAAAGAATAAAAACTAACCAGAGAGCCAACATTATGCATTTGTTCCCATAACATGATAATCAGTTATCACAGATGTCTTATGTATATCTTCTTCTTCGTGTTCAGCTACTGGATTTTTTGTTCTTGCCATTTTCACAGCGAACATCCATTAAATCTTGCCATCACCATCCCCTTCCTTACTTGACTCAACAAGTTAGGATCACATGTGTAGACAAGTTAAGTCTTACACATTACGCAATTCATGCATCCTTATTTGAGCATTCAAAACTCAAATACCTCCAGACATTAGCTTTCCATTTAGAGCTCAGCTTTCATTTCATGGAGGGGTTATGTACTACGAATTTAACATTGGCAGTGGATGAACTTGTAGAAAATCTAAATGTGATTTTTCAATAAAAAGATATTTGTTCTTCTAACGGGTAATGAATACTATAAGGAAATGTCCCTTTTCCCCCGCTACAATCAGGTTCCCAAAGAAGCAACTGTTTAGCATAGCTGATATTTTAATTTGACATCTCTTAAATAAATTTTCCATCTATGCTGGATTGTGCCGGATAATCTGCTTTATTTTGTGAGCTTTTGAATGCCAATTTCCTAACTGTATGCACAAATTCATTTCTTCCTTGTTAAGTCAATTTTTAAAGCAATGTTCTTATCTGGGCAGCCCCTGAGGCTTTTCTTTAATTCCTCTATTTCAAAGAGAATAGAACCAGCCCACAAGGCTTTTCTTTAATTCAATATTTCCAAGAGGATTGGATCCCTAACAACACACTGATACAAGTTAAACACAAGGGATCTACCTTTAGAGGCTTTGAAGGAAGAAACAGCATCAGATGAAAATGACGAGCCATCCCAGTGCCAAAGTGATCCATCATCTGAACACGTGAATAGGTGGTTTGGATTGTAAGGATGAAACTTCACCTCCCACACTGACAGAAAAAAAATAATAAAATTTATAACATTTTCCTTAAAACTTTTTGAACTTCAAATGCTCCTTTCAAAATGATGGCCAAAATAAAAACATATACAATCCTTCTATACAGTTACTCAGAAGTTTTGGAAGATATTTCCCTCCACAAGAAAAAGCTATCAGTTCTGATCAGGGGTTTACAAGAGGTTTAAAAGAGGGGAAACACTTTTATAGAAAAATTTTCTTTTGCCTAAATTTTTAGGAAACTTCAAGAAAAGTAATTTATATAAAGCCCAGATTACAACCCGGCTATTGGTAACATATAAACTTCCTAGAGGTATGCACAAATGTCCATTAAATGGCGCCATTAAAGACATCTATTTAAAAATAGGTGTAATTTTAAACGTGATGAAGAAAAGGAGAAGATATACCATGGAAGGACATTTTTTTTCTTTCAAAATTTCACCCCAAAATAGCAAAGATGATTCATCAAGATCTACAAATATATACTTTGTTGAAAGTTTTCAGAGTTGATGGACATTATGCTAATTTTACATTTTATGTGTAAGATCTAACATTACCTATTATGTGTAAGATCTAGTTTTACATTTTTCGACTGTATGTTTTTTTCACTTAAATTTTACACTTGAATGACAAGTCCAGCTTGGAGAAATTATGCTCTCATTTACATTCAAGTTTAAAAAAATGTGAAAAAAAAAATAAAAAAATAAAATCATTTTAATTTTGTTTTCTGCTTAACTGCCTTTACTTTGTAAATAACCGGACCGCTTATTGCCAACTACAAGAACAGTCAAGTGTCTTGTGTAGCTGTGTCCCCTGCTTTCTAAGTTCCCACCAGTACTTACTGGCTCCTGTGTGTGCCTCCAGAAGTGTCATGGGGAACTTGTCCTGCCTCAGGTCCCATATGGTCAGCATGCCCTCTTCTCCACCGGTAGCGACTATATGGGCCTGTCCCGGGTGTTTGTCCAGGCAGAGGAGTGGTGTGTGGTTCTCTGTACTGAAATAGGTATTTCATGGTTAATTAACGTATGTCATGCTAGCACCATCAAATATTTTCTGGACAATGGAAAATCCTCCACACTCCAAGACAAAAGTTGACGCTGCCAGAATGTTATTGGATGAATATTCTTAAATGTCACGGAACTCAAATTTGTGACTTCAGCCTTGTGAAAATTGAAATAAAAATAAAACCAAAACAGATTTACATAATATGTTAAAATAAAGTCACAAATTTGATCCATTTGTGATACTTTGTGTTAATGTTTTTTATTCTCTGGCTATTTAGCACTGCCATATTGTTAATTGCTTCATAGCATTTTTTGCTTATATGTAATTTGATTAATTTGAAAGGATATTCATTATACTATTAAATTTAAATAAACTGTGTTTTGAAAGAAGAAAAAAAAATGGAACTTGGTTATTTATTTGCTTTTGAATTGATGGAATTTCTATATTGAAAACACATTCACCATCATTGTCACAATATTATGTATGCTGATGAAAATGAAAGAAAACCAAGACAGCCAAATAACTTCCGACTGCCTGGAGGAATACAAAAAGGTTAAAATAAAAATGTTAAAAATATTTTTTGGGGACTAAATATATAAATTAAAAAAAAAAAAAAAGCTGTCAGACATTGCACAACAAACTCTTACACTGAAAATATCTGGGCCTGTTTCTCCAGGTCTTGCCTCAGGTCAAATGTTTTGAGCTGACCATATGAGTTGACCGTCAATAGCTCAGAATGTTTCAGGAATGTGAGGGCATTGATAGTACAGCTGTCAGCTTTCTCTGCGATACAATTTTAAAAAAAATCGGATTATAAAAGATATCTGAATAAAAAGCAATGTGTTCTGTCTCTGTCAGTGCAGTAGAGTATATGAAAACGTTTGTTAAAAATTAAATACTTTTTATTACTCTCACAAACTTTAACTGTTATGGGAGGAACTAAATCCCCATCAGCCCTTTCCACTGATGAAGTGAGTCTTAACATCTAATGCATAATCAAAATCATCTAAATACAAAATTCTCTGTAACAATGTCACTAATGCTACCAGATAACTCAGATTTCACTAAATAAATTGCCTGATAACTGCAAGTGCGTTTGATATTGGCAGTCACTTAGCACATGACATTGGCAGTCACTTAGCACATGACATCGGCAGTCACCTAGCACATGACATTGGCAGTCACCCAGCACATGACATTGGTAGTCACCTATTGTTTGTATGGCTTGTCGCTGGTCCACAGCGATGATCACTATCTTTCCATCCTCCCCACCAGTGGCTATCCAGTCATCTCCCCTCGGGGCCAGACATGTGCAGGGAGCCGAGTCACCAGTTTTGAACTGATGCAGCTGTTCCCATGTGTGCAAGTTGGCCAAGGTCTGAAACATTCATGGGCAGAGAAGAAAAAAAATCAAAAGTAAGACAGCAATCAAATATTCCCCCACCCCCTATCTTTTTTCATTTTTTTGGGAAGGGAGGTGGGTGGAGAAATTTTAAATAATTTTTCTACAACAGCCTGGCTTTTACATTAATGATTAATGAAATAAAAAAAATTTTGAATTTATATTTAACAATGCGTAATTTAAACATCCCGCTTGGACATCGTCCGAGTCCTACCAAAATAATTAACAAGCTGTTATGCTTAACTTAAACTATAAACACATTCCAGATTAAATAAAGCAATGATCCTAAAGCTTTGAGAGAAGAAAACGTACTCTTAGACCAATTGTTGTAATGATGTTTCAACGATGATGTCTCATGTAAAGAATCTCTGTTAAACTGATTCTAAAAACAAAGCCCAGGACTTTTCCAGGAAAAAAATACTAAATTCCAGGAAATTTGTAAAAAATTTAAGTTTTTTAAAAAAAAATCATAAACGTTATAAACATTTTTTGTAGTAACCGGGCGTAAATGGACTTGTACAGAACTCCAAGGACCAGTTAAGCAATTATTTGATTTAATGCTGTAGAGATACTCTGGTCACAATTTCACGCACAGATGAGCAACTTGTTTGTTATCAGATGTAAATGAAATATAAGAACAAGGTGTGCTAACGTCCTAATCTTATTGTCCTGTCTATTTATTCAAGTTCAGCATACCCTGCTCTAATATTTCATTTACACAACTTCAATTATTATCTTTTATAAGATGTACTTGACATTTAACAACAAACAAATAATAAAGTTCTAAAATAATCCACTTGAAATACAAATACAAGTATGAACCAATATAATAAGATCACAACATTATATTTACAACAAAATTTTCCAACTAGAAGTCATTGATGTCGCTCAAAGCCCTCCTATTTATTTCAGTTTTGACTCGATCTCTCCAGTCAACTTTTTGACTACTACCATTTTTCTTGAGTAGATTGCCGCCAAGGCATAAGACTCAAACATTTTTAAGTGGGAATTAGTGCTCTCTGCTTTTTCTGCTAGTTTGACGGCCGAGACTGTGAGTCAAGAAACATCTTACACCAGTCTGAATTTTTTGGTTTTTAAATTTTCAATTATAGTAAACACAGCCATTCATTTTCTTTTAAGACTTTTTTTCTGGTCCTCTGCTGATTTCCTCTAAGTGAGCTCTATATTTGGATCTGGCACTTGCTGCTGTTATCAGCAAACTACTTGTAATTGAGAGATTTTCAAAGCCCTTTTATGCTTGAAAAATAGTTGCTAATCACTCTCTAAAAATAAGGGCCCTCTCAATCATGTTTGTTGTCATCGTCTCCTTATTGATGCTAACTCTACACTCACCTTATGCCTGACCATGGGATAATAAAGGAAGAGAGCGCACGACCTTCCTGATTTCTTAATATTCTGGCTTCATATTTAGAATAGAATACACCAAGACGCTGAGGAAATCTATGCAGCTGGTTACTGTGATAAAGTCTTCTCGCCTGGCAGATGCATCTTTAAAAAGCCAAGATGGTGATGTGAAAAAAATGGGATAAATTTGACGTGGTGTGCCCGGCACAAAAAGCACTGTGGATAGTGTGTAGACTACAGCTGCAGATGTCAATGAATTTATAACCTGAGGAATCTTGTCTTTCTAGATCCTAGCATTAATTAAAACAAAGACCATTTGACATTGGGACCATCCGTCATATCCAACTGATCCTGAATTTTGTCAAACATATGTTGAGCCGTAGGGTGACCTAGAAATGATGAACTGTCGCACCTTGTAATAACCTAAGATGTTGAGATGAAATTTAAAAAATATTTAAAATTCAAGTACAATAGAAAGCTAAACATTTACCAATTAAGGTTGGCCTAACATTTTAAATAAAAGGACAAATCTATATTTATATTTTAATATAATCAGTTGACCTTGATTTAAAAGATTTTGCAGACACGCCTACCCCAAACATCATTTATGAAACATATTTTAAAATTTTACTTTAACTTAAAATGACCTAATTTTTTTTTTTTTTTAGTAGTAACTCCCTACAAGCCAACAAAAGAAATAAATATCAATTTAATAAAGGAAATAAATAATTAAAAATAAAAAAAAAAATCATTTATTAAATTTATTTTAAAATTTTACTTTAACTTAAAATGACCTAATTTTTTTTTTTTTTTAGTAGTAACTCCCTACAAGCCAACAAAAGAAATAAATATCAAGTTAATCAAGGATATAAATAATTAAAAATAAAAATACTTACATGACCTCCATCCCAATATCTGACATTTAATTCAGTTCTCTTTTCAATGTTTCATCAAACAATAGGATAAAGCCATCTTTTGCAGAGCTGAGTCTTATCTTTAAAAGCTCTTTAAAATGTGGCCCTTGTCCAAAAATGACCAATTATGCTATTTTGTCTGTGCCACATGTACTTTTTTTTTGTTGCTATGTGACCACCAAGAAACATTTTTACAAATAAGTTAGGAATATCTGCACTGCTGTTGTATGAATAATGTGAAGATGTTGATGCTGGGACTGTAGAGCCAGTGGATGTTGCTCCAAGCTTTTAAACGCATAACTGAAACAGGAAGTGAACAGAAAAATTTCGGACTGCACACAATCGGTGAATGTGCTAAACTGGCCTGAGCCAGTCGCTCAAAAACGAAAATGAAATTCTCACAGAGAAATTCTCACAATCTCACAGACGCTCCGCAGCAGTTTTGAGTACCGCGCAGCTCATTTCCACTTAAGTGTCTGTAGGCTGAAAATTTTGCGCACAAAAAAATTGATGCTGTAAAAATTTGCACACAACTTTATGATTTTGCAAACGAACCAACAAACCTTAGAGGGAACATTGACGTGACCAGGATTTTTTGTTAGCTCTGCGAAAAATTTTTCAGGACATTAAAGAAGAAATTTTATAGAATCCCCCCCCCCCTCCAAATTCCAGGACATCCTGGAATTACAGGAGGCTGCGGGAACCCTGACATAACTTAGCCTCCTATAATACATCAGGAATACATCAGCACAGAACTACTTCCTTTAAAGCAAATAATCACCTGAGTATTTGGTTTGTGTTTCAAGACTGAGACATCCCCAGTAGATGAAGCCACTGCAAATGTATCACTAGACAGGTACTGAAATTTAAGATAGATCTGATGGTTAGAAACAATAGATAAGGAATATTTCCAAAAAGTTCTAAACATTTTCTTACCTAAGACCTCATAACAAAAAGGTGTATAAATTTGGACCTGAAATATACCCCACTTAACCCAATCTATAGATAAGCTACTGAAAAATATAGCAGTATTAGCAGACACTCATCTGCTCCATAGATTGAAACCACTTAATAGCTTTACTACAGTTTCTAATTTCAAATCCCTTTCACTTGCAACATCTTTAAATCTTTTTTCCTAAATGAACGCTTGTATAGAGCTAGTCACGCTTAAATACGATAAGAGGGTCAACTGCAGGGCATGAGTAATATGACTTTAAAAAAAAAACCAACAAAACAACCTTGTTATAATTCCTCCAAATAACTCCTGAACCATTTAATTGTACAAATATGGTGACAAAACGTTAGATGAGGGCATGTTGAGGACATAATGAGGAAATGTCGAGAGCATAATGAAGGAATGTCGAGGGCATAATGAGGGAATGTTGAGGGCATGAGGGAATATCGAGGGCGTAATGAGGGAATGTCAAGGGCATAATGAGGGAATGTTGAGGGCATGAGGGAACATCAAGGGCATAATGAGGGATGATGTGGGAATGTTGAGGAAGTGATGAGGGATGATTACTGGATGGTAATTTAAAAAAAAAAAGAAGAAAGCTGGAAACCTTAAGATCCAATACATCGCCCAAGTGAGGCATTTCAAAAACCTTCTCTGGCTCATGTTCTAAAGATGTTGCATCACCAAAATCCTGATCTTCTGATATTCTGTCCTGTAAGCGCCAGACAGAGATTGTGTTTTCCTGA